ACACCAGAGAATTCACACAGGCGAGCGCCCCTATTCATGTACAGAGTGCGGGAAATGTTTTACTCAGAAAGGAGTTCTTATTGTACACCAGAGAATTCATGTGGGCGAGCATCTTTATTCATGTACAGAGTGCGGGAAATGTTTTACTCAGAAAGGAGACTTTGTTAAACACCAGATGATGCACGCTGGTGCGCGTCCATATTCGTGTTCAGAGTGTGGGAAATCTTTCACTAAGAAAAGCCACCTTGTTAGGCACCAGAGAATTCACATGGATTGATCATCGTTGATCATGTACAAAGTGCGGGATATCCTTCACTGAGCAAAAGCTACCAGAGACACCACAGATTCGATATTGAGTCGGGCGTCCATCAGTCTGCTGTGCTTTCATCTACCATTGCTTGTGTTTAGTCTTTGTATGAATAAAACATTTAAGGGGATTCAATTTTAGTGGATTTTGTTTTTCTGTAGTACAATAGCATTTTTGTGTTAACATATTTTGTTCAGTATTGGTCGACAAGTCAGGGTTTTGTCTTTGACTGGTATACATCGACAGTATTAACCGCTTCCGCACCACCCTATAGCAGAAATACTGCCACAGGGCGGCAGGGGTGCATACAATCACGTGTATATATACGTGATTTTGCAGTTCCGGGTAGGGGGTGGGTTTCCTCCGGGTATTCCGGTTTCCTCCCACACTTCAAAGACATGCTGGTAGGTTAAGTGGCTCCTGTCTAAATTGGCCCTAATATGTGTATGTATGAATGTGAGTTAGGGACCTTAGATTGTACGCCCCTTGAGGGTTAGGAACTGATGTGAATGTACAATATATATGTAAAGTGCTGCATAAATTGACTGCGCTATATAAGTACCTGAAATAAATGTAAAAAAATAAAATAAATATAGTTACGTGAAGAACAGAAACTGAGGGATACCATAGAAGGTGGTTCCATGTACAGAAATGAAACTAGTTTAAGAAAACGAGAGAGAAGTTACAAAACCAAAACTAACTATCCACACATCTAGAAACGTGTCAGGAAGGAGCCTACGTGCTGACGTCACGCCGCCGTATCCACATGATGGCGGCCATCTTTGTAAGTGCTTTTTATCCATTGATGAATGTTATGCTCCACGTGGTTGCTATCTACTGTCTCCGGGCTCGGTCTACAAGCTTGCCCTCTAGGAGGAATCCCTTTCTTTGGTTTGCTGGAGATGGAGACTTGGCTACTCTACTTTTGATTGATCATTTGGCTGCTGGAGAGATCCCGCCTTCGACCGGGTCACTGGCAGGAGGAACAAGCAGGAACACCCCTTAGTGTCATCCCACTCTGGACTTGCTTGCTACTTACTTCTGGTGGAGGTGCAGCGCACAAGTCACAGAAGTCGCTACATTTTGTTGATTTGATCACATCACTATTTTTGGGATCATTATGATATTTAGAGGGTGGTCGGCAGGGATGAGAGGGGGATATGGACGGGTGGGTGGTCGGTGTGGATGAGAGGGGGATATGGACTGGTGGGTGGTCGGTGTGGATGAGAGGGGGATGTGGACGGGTGGGTGGGTGGTCGGTGTGTGGATGAGAGGGGGATGTGGACGGGTGGGTGGTCGGTGTGGATGAGAGTGGGATATGGACTGGTGGGTGGTCGGTGTGGATGAGACGGGGATATGGACTGGTGGATGAGAGGGGGATATGGACGGGTGGGTGGTCGGTGTAGATGAGAGAGGGATACTGACTGGTGGGTGGTCAGTGTGGACGAGAGGAAGATATGGACTGGTGGGTGGTCGGTGTGGATGAGAGGGGGATATGGACTGGTGGGTGGTCGGTTGGATGAGAGGGGATATGGACTGGGGGGTGGTCGGTGTGGACGAGAGAGGGATACTAAATGGTGGGTGGTCGGTGTGGATGAGAGGAAGATAAGGACTGGTGGGTGGTCGGTGTAGATGAGACGGGGATACGGACTGGTGGGTGGTCGGTGTGGATGAGAGGGGGCTATGGACTGGTGGGTGGTCCATGTGGATGAGAGGGGGATATGGACTGGTGGATGGTCGGTGTGGATGAGAGGGGGATATGGACTGGTGGGCGGTCGGTGTGGATGAGAGGGGGATATGGACTGGTGGGCGGTCGGTGTGGATGAGAGGGGGATATGGACTGGTGGGTGGTCGGTGTGGATGAGAGAGGGATATGGACTGGTGGGTGGGTGGTCGATGTGGATGAGAGGGGGATGGGGACTGGTGGGTGGTCGGAGTGGATGAGAGGGTGATGTGGACTGGTGGGTGGTCGGTGTGGATGAGAGGTGGATATGGACTGGTGGGTGGTCGGCGTGGATGAGAGGGGGATATGGTATGGTGGATGAGAGGGGGATATGGATGGGTGGATGAGAGGGGGATATGGACTGGTGGGTGGTCGGTGTGGATGAGAGGAGGATATGGACTGGTGGGTGGTCTGTGTGGATGAGAGGGGGGGATATGGACGGTGTGGATGAGAGGGGGATATGGACGGGTGGGTGGTCGGTGTGGATGAGAGGGGGATATGGACGGGTGGGTGGTCGATGTGGATGAGAGGGGGATATGGACTGGTGGGTGGTCGGTGGGTGGATGATGAGAGGGGAATATGGACTGGTGGGTGGTTGGCGTGGATGAGAGGGGGATATGGACTGGTGGGTGGTCGGTGTGGATGAGAGGAGGATATGGACTGGTGGGTGGTCTGTGTGGATGAGAGGGGGATATGGACGGGTGGGTAGATGGTCGGTGTGGATGAGAGGGAGATATGGACGGGTGGGTGGTCGGTGTGGATGAGAGGGGGATATGGACTGGTGGTGGTCGGTGTGGATGAGAGAGGGATATGGACTGGTGGGTGGTCGGTGCAGATGAGGCTGTGTGTGTGCGGGAATGTGGTCCAGCATCTGCCCTCCTCAGCCTTCATTGGGAAGGATAGGATTGTTGTGTTCTACCCTGGACTGCCCAAGCTCTGCAATAAGTGCAGGTGGTCTCGGTGGTGGAACAGTATGCTGAGGCATCTGGCTCAAAGATCAATCAGGATAAGAGTGAGGCTTTCTGGATGGGAGAGGAAGGCGAAGGCTTTACCCTTCCGGACGCCTTCCCAGAGCCCCAGCAGGAAATTAAAGTTTTAGGCATCAGATTTGGTCCCGGTGATTATGGCCTTGCAAATTGGGTAAGCAGGCTATAAGATGCCAATGCCAAGGTTGCCAGCTGGAAGGATTGGATACTCTCTTACAGGGAAAGGATTGACTTGATTAAAACTTACCTGATCCTGGTATTTCTGTATGTCAGCTTTGTCTGTGTTTTGCCAGTGTCTCTCTATGTGAAGATCTACAGATGTTTCTTCCAGCTGTTATGGTATATCTGTAACCTTCCCAGACGGATGGGTGGCCTAGGTATGGTCAACCCGGTGGTTTTCTTTTCTCTGATGTTTTGTAAACATAATTTTGGTAGCATGCTGGCAGAGGAACCGCCTGGGTGGGTTGGTATTTTCCAGTCCTGGTTTAGACCTTTTCTGCAGAGCTGGGAGAATGCTGGGCCAGTGAAAAGCCTGAGGGTCCAACATGGTAAGTTCCCGACTTATTTTGCCCCATGCCTGAGAATGCTTCGGCAATGGCGAGTGACAGTGGAGGAAACTAAGTCTCTTCCTAGGAAGGTCCTAGAGAGGAGGGTTGTTGAATCTGCCTTTAGCGAGCCATTGGCCTTGTGGGATTGCCCAGGCCCGGTTATGAGGGAGGGCCTGCGTTTGATGAATCTGGAGAGAATCCCTTTAAAGTTCCGGGATTTGGCCTGGCTCTCGTTTCATGGCAGACTCTATGTGAAGGGCAACCTGAAGCATCGCTCTGCGGAGAACCGTGGTTGTCCAATAGTGGAGTGCGGTGGGGTGGAGGAGACGATGGACCATTTCTTCCTTCAGTGCCCCTTGAATATAGAAGTCTACAAGCAGAAGGGTGGGGCTCTGGGGATCCCTTTCCTTTCCCGCTTGAGTTACGCGGAGTGGTCTTACGGAGCCTTTCAAACTCACCAGGACTTTGATTTTGAGAAACTTTTTCTAGTTAGTTTAGTAGTCCGTTACTACACGTGGAATGCACGGTGTCAGGTTTCCATTTGCAAAAAAGTCCTTCCTGTCGAAGTGGTGGTGCACAACATTCTGGGTGAGGTTGGGAAGATTTTTGATCAGGTTTTTGAAGAAAGGCTGCATGCATGGGATCAATGTTTAATAGTTTCTTAGCCTGAGGGGGTGTTTAGATGACAGCTCTGACATATACCGCAGTGCTGTACAGAGAGAACTGAGCCAGTCACATCAGTCTCTGCACCAGAGGAGCTTACACTCTGCACCAGAGAGGTTGTGCTGCAGGTGCTCTCCCTCTCCAGGCACTAGGGGGCCAGGCCTGCTCGCCTGGCCCCAGAAACATGGCCTCTTCTGGGTTAGGCTCAGACCATGCTCCCCCTGAGGGACCCAGCTTGCCTTCCCATACTTTACCAGCACCTGAAGACCTTGGCTGTGGCCCTAAAAGTGGGGAATCCCTCCCTGTCTTTAGAGAGCGGGTTGCTGATTATCTGGTGAGAATCGCAAAGGAGGAGGAAGAGTTGGTGAGTCTGAAAACTGACTACAAGAAGAAGAAAGTTCTCCATGACAAGTCATGGAGCAGCAAGAGGCAGAGTATGAAGCCGGAGATGAAGGGTTTGGAGGTCGCCATTAAGAAGCAGCAGAATCTGGTAAAGACGCTGAAGGAGAAGAGCGGAGCTTTCAGAGAAAAGTTCTGGAATGAGGAAAGGTTCAGGAAGATGAAGGGAGACTCCGGTAAGGATCCAGCATCGGCGGTGTGGCAGTACGGGTGGAGAGTGAGGAGGGGGTCCTGGATGCTGCCCCTGCTATCCCATCCACCTCAGGATCTGCTTCCCTGGAGGAAATGTCAGCCTCTGCTTCCCTCCCTCCACAGCAAGCTGGAGGAACAGCACAGGAGGTAGAGGAATATGGCGGAGGGCTGCTAAAATACATTGAGGAATTGGAGTCTTCCCTAATTGGAAGAACTTTCCGCTTTTCTGAGGACTCTGAGGATGAAGATGACGGTGAGGACTCTGTACCTGGTCCTGTAAAGGAGAAAAAAACAGAAAAGCCACGCTTTATTAAAAGTGACAGTTTGGACTCCAGTGTGGACAGCCATGTGCACTGCAGTGTTTTGGAGGGAAATCCTCCTGTGTGTGCACAGAGCTCTGCAGGGAAGATGGCTGCTGTGCCTGCAGGACTGCTCTCTGCTGGGACTGAGGACTCTGAT